TACAAAAACATCAACTACCGAGTTTTGAGAAAACCCAAGCAACAGGGTTAATCATAATTTGACAAGTGACTCTTATTGCCTAGCTACTCTTATGTTAATAGCTGTTAAATGTTACGATTCAGAAGCTATTTATATCTTACATAAAAAATACCTGACATGTAAACAAGCTAGTGCTAGTTTTCAGCAACGTGGTCTCGAAAACTGTGGTATCGTAAGTGTGACAACAGAGCTAGTTTTTAAATCACAAAAGTAACTCCATGGCAGGACACATTGTATTTTTTATGGTTGATGAGTTCCCAAAATACAAGTTAGAAGTAGACCAACGTCGAAGATTTATTTTATATGTCTTATAAAACCATTTAGGCTGTTAAATTTTACAGGTTAAGCTAGTAGTTAAACTTTGTGCATATTAATCCTAGAAAGAGAACCTGACAAACTCTAGTTTATTTTTTAAATCATATCTATAAACTATATAAAAGGTATAAGTTGGAATTTCATATTAGAAAAGTATTTTGTTTAAACCAAAGAACTCCTGCGTGTCAATTTCGAAACTTTATTTTAGAGAAAAATCTAATAATGTTGACAAAATGTTCTCATAAATAACTGTATTATTTAAATTTGTGGTAGTCTTAAAATAAGATTATTTTTGATTTATATTTATTTCAAGCAACTTGATAAATTCCCTTATAATTATTTGACACTTTATTCATATAAAACTCTAGGTAGTTTCTTTTGAAACTTAATATTACCATTTCAAAAGAAATTAAGAGTTAATTTTGAGGGAGGCAAACAAAGCCAACAATTTTGCTTCTTTTTAACATATATAAGGATATATAGATTAAAGGAAGAACGTGGAATATGAAAATTAAAGTTTTCTTTACGGATAGAGCAAATAATATGTTTTTAAACTTATTATTGGTTTTATCAATAAACAAAACTTTAACATATAAAGATAGTTTTAAAATGGAATGATTTTATATTTAAAGTATCCGTGGTTTTGGTACTTATTTTCCGTGAAATATATTCTTATTCATGAGAAAATTTTTTAAACAAAACTAACATACATAGACATGTAAGTCATATTTAATTTATAGCTAGTATGTCAAAAAAATCTGTTTTAAGAAACAACTTTCTTTAAACATAAACAGCACCAAATATCATCATTTCAAGGTGTCTCCATAGATAAGCAGCCTAATGATTCCCTTCTTGAAACCTGTGTATTCTTTAACTTCTACTTTTTTCCTGACGTTGAAAGATTTATTGAAAGTCACTAAGCTCTATGATATAACAAATATTATTCCTTGCAAGAATTCAGAAAAGTTTGTCAGATAAGAAAACATAGCACAATGTATATAACGAAAACTGACAGACTGTCAATTACAAAAACAATTAATTATGATGCCTTCTATATAGACAAAATACAAATGCTACAAAACACAGACCAGGAACACTGCTGCAACTGCAGACTTCATTTCATGGATTCGACTCGTTGCGTTTTGTTTTTCTACAGTAATAACACTATAATCTATCGGAAGAAACCCTATGTTAGACTGTTGTGTCAAACATCACTCATTCCCAGAAATGAAAATATGTTATCATCTCCTAAAGATTAGGTGAGTTTTGTCGAGAATGAACTTTGTAGTTGTGGCACTATAAATACAAAAGCTTGAAGAAAGACTGCTTGTATACCACATTAAATAATAAAACTTGAAAAAAGCCCGGTTGTATACCACATTAGATAATAAAACTTGGAGAAAATTGGTCTTTAAACCACATTAAATAATAGAACTTGAATAAAGTTGGTGTTGATACCACATCAAAGAGTAAAAGTTGAAGAAACTTAGTTTTGACTTAAGATTAATTCACAAGCTTCAAAGAAACATACCACATAAACTAAAATTTTTGAAAAGTTTGGTCTGGATACCATTCAGTCTATATCCTACCTTAACTCAAATCTGAGCTTTAAAACACAAGCGTCTACCTTCCATACAACATTTATATTAAATATAAGATAAAGTATTTCTTTTTTGCAAAATAAATCCTGAAATTTTCTAAAAGCCTGTGTTTTGGTTTTAAGACACTCTGTTATCATAAAAAGCAGTACTCAACTCAAAATGTGGAAGCAGTGCTGTTCAGGCTGATAAAAAATATTCAAAGTTATGAACTGCGACAGCATATACTTAAATAATATTTCAAAGGTTTCTATACGCTTGCTGGATATAGCCGATCTGACCAATATCAGAAATACTAATCATGAAAACTGGGTCATCTCGCATAATTAGCAGCTTTAGCAACAGTCACAGGAGCATGTTCGAAATTCTTGCTGTAACTGATATTAGGAAAACATAGCAAACAAAACTGTGTACTTAACGCATAGCGATGAAAAATGAAGCGGATGAATCCTTAGTCAAATAAATAACCGAGTAAGGTTTTAATTACTATTGCAATAGATTAATGTTTAATTAATGCCCGCAAGACTTTAAACAAAGATGTCACTCTCATGGTTATTAATCATACTCTAGTTTTACTATAGTTCATTTGATTCACCAAGCATGTAAACTTCTCTAAGTTATATTAATTGGTTAATATCACGATAATAAGTTACAGTAATTGGTTAATATCACGATAATAAGTTATATTAATTGGTTAATATCACGATGATAAGTTATATTAATTGGTTAATATCACGATGATAAGTTATATTAATTGGTTAATATCACGATAATAAGTTATATTAATTGGTTAATATCACGATAATAAGTTATATTAATTGGTTAATATCACGATAATAAGTTATATTAATTGGTTAATATCACGATAATAAGTTATATTAATTGGTTAATATCACGATAATAAGTTATATTAATTGGTTAATATCACGATAATAAGTTATATTAATTGGTTATTATCACGATAATAAGTAATATTAATTGGTTATTATCACGATAATAAGTTATATTAATTGGTTAATATCACGATAATAAGTTATATTAATTGGTTATTATCACGATAATAAGTAATATTAATTGGTTATTATCACGATAATAAGTTATATTAATTGGTTAATATCACAATAATGAACTTTAATTATCTCCACAACATATTCTGTCTGGTTCTGGTCAGTAAAATAAATATTTATCTATACGTACATTCTGTGTATTTGGTCGGAATTTTCAAGAAATTGCCCACTAACTACAGAGTGACTCATAGTAATCACTATACTTCAACGACGTCTTTCATGGCGTAAGTTTCAGATATACACATCTGTAGCAATGTGCAATTTGTCTGGATGGTATTCTATATTGAGACCAAGCTGAACTGATGATAACTGACACTCCTCTAAATTACAGTTTTCACCTGGTCATGGTATGGTTTTTGTTACTTAACATGAACTTACGTATTTTCATTCTAATTTAGATTTACTAAGAAAAGGATGAGCTAAATTGTATATGTAAAATATTTATTTGCTGTTCGTATGGGTTATTTAAAACATTAAATTTAGTATAAACGAATAATAAATACGATCGTATATTAAATCCCTAGTATAGAATTGACATGACAACTTTGTTTTCGGTTATTCGCTTAAAGTCATTCAAGGACTCTTTCCGTATTTGTTGTGCAATGCTAGATGTGGTGTGTTCTTTTGTTGTGTCGACTTCCTACGTGGTTTCTCTGCCCAGAAAGGAAAACAGTCATTAGTCAGAATGTGATCTTTAGTCTTCTTCGATGTAGTAAAGACCTTCATGTACTGTGTATGTTTACTTGTTTTACTGAAACGGGTTTGATTAATTGCATGGCTTTTTGGTGTTTCTGGAATCTTCCAGAGATCTTTGGATATCCATTGTCGTGGTGGACAGGTTCACATTCCTAAGTAATACAGAACAAAAAGGTTAGTTTTGTTTCTTAGCGGGGAAGAACACAAATAGCCAAAATCTTCAAATGTTTGGCGTTTGATTAAAATCCCATCCCTACGAAATAGCCTGGTTTTTGGTAGCGTCAATGATGGTGTTTGGTTCAAACTTCAAGATGAAGTTGGAAATTTGTCGAAGAGAGTAATCTTGGGGTGATCTGTCGATGATCACGGATGGGATTGCCGGGGTCAACGTTACTGGTGCGCCGGACTTGGTGGTGTTCTTCTCATCGTAGTTGAAGTGAAACGGCTTTATGGTCAGATGTATTCCATTTCCCGTGGTAGTTATTTAGGTAAGATAATCAAATAATTTAATTCAAATTATCAAACCGTGGGTGGTTAGAGGTCGTCCGATCTCTTTTCGCCTCGCTCGTAGATTTAAAATTTCCTAAAATGACTCCGTGATAAAAGGATAATTTTTACTTTGTCGATATGGTATATAATGTGTAAAAAGCCGGAAGTAAACCTGAAAGGTCGGTCGTCGTCATCCCGCTGCTATGCTAACATACTCGTTAAGTTCAATGTAGATTATTATGATAAGAATTAAGATGAATGGGATCAGAGGGTCCTACGCTCTAATGGTTAAAAGAACTTTAATGTTTTATAGATTTAAAATACTTTAAACTTAACGTTATATTATTAAGTAACTAAACGGCCTCAGTTCAGGGTGGCAGGGTCTAAAATTCCAGTATCGTTTCGGTTAAAATATTTTTCAGGCCCGGAAGGTGGTCTGAAAGATAACCACGGGCGGCCAGGAACGTCTTTTCTCTTCACCCCACCTGATGAATTAAGATTATATGGCACATAAATATGAAGGATTTTGAACTAATAGGGGTGGAGTTTTTAATTAGAAACATAGATGTTTAATGCTAGTTGATAACTGCTGCTTCTTGATATTGTCAAATACAGGAACGATGAATGACCAAGGCTGTTCCAAGATTATCCAATTACAAGTATATTCGTGAAGAAAAACAATTTCTTAGTGAGTTATTTAATCATTTTCATTTGTTGCTTAAATAAGTTAAATAAATTGATTTAGACATCATGAATTATTATTTGATATAATCAGACATTTTGTTTTTGGTTTAAGCATGCTAAGATACGGTCCTTTCCAATCCTAGTTTAAAAAGTTTGCTGTGAGGGAAACGGGAATACTCATTTCACGGCTAGGGCGCCTAATAAAATTGCCCTGACTGTGCCCGGAAGAATCTGAGGAAGAAAAACAAAGGTTAGTATTCATGGTAAGATACACTTGATAATTTTAATAACATTTAACGAGAGTTAAAAAAGGTTGGACGGATATAAGGTCGATGTTAAGACAGGGAGATCCTGGTCGTTGTCATAGTCGGGTTACCTTGGGCTGGGATTGAACAGGCGAAGGAATAGAGACTTTCAAAGGACGACATTTCGTGGGTCGGTAGAGGCTTCAGTCTGTTAGACTACGGGAGGCTGATGTTTCTTGGAGGATCGGGTTGATCTTCGGAAATCTTCGTCGGGTTGGTCATCAGTTTGAGCAGATCTATCTTTCTTGGCTTATTAGTTGAGGGCTGTTTGTGGAGGCGTTGCACTTGGTGATCTGGGCTGTTATAGTCTGGGTCTGTTCTACGATTTTCATAAGTATATTCGTCTGCATATTCTTGTCAGTAGCTTTGGATGTGGTTTTTTTTAGCGGCTAGTGGTTCTGTGTGAAGTTTCGGTGGTCTATTAGTTTGAGATGAGCGAGGAGAAGGATAGGCGGGCTCTGAAATAAAAAAGTGATAAAAACAACCATTAGAAATAATATAGTTTGCTGTAAGTTTAGATGTCGTTACTACTTTGATGAACAGGGTGATGTGGCCTGTTGTTCTGGAGCGAATCCGGTGAACTTATATCCAATGCCGATCCGATCCGATAATATTGGTAACTATTTTAGGTTTTGTGAATAAACCTGGGGGTGTTCAGAAATAATTACAATTTGTTTTGCAGTGGTTTATATACTATCTGTAAGAATTGAAGTGGACGTGACGTGATTGGTTGGTGGTCCTTGTACTGTGGTTGGTAAAATGAATGATGATTTGACCAATGGTAGCCACAAACTGTTGGTTTCAAGGCGTGAGTTTCTGGTTAGTGATGGTTCCATCCTTCAAGATTTTATCCACACGTTTCACATTATATTGGGCGTTTGCTGACGTTTTCACCTTTTTTTGTTCGTTGTTTTTTTTCTTTCTTTAGTAAGTATGTATGCAAGTCATAAAAGATGGTTGTTTTTCATATTGGCTAGAAAATTAAGCAATGCTAAGTATATTTTCTTAGCCTATTGTGTCTGATGTTCATTTCAAGTTAATTCGTTGAAATGACCCAGTTTTCCGTGGCGTTGGAAGAAGTAGGGCTAGAAAGGTCCACTGAAAATCATACAAGTTTTATGTAAAAATAATAGATAATAGTAATAACAAATAAAATGGTAGAGAAACATTTGGAAATAATAAAATATAATAAATCATTCAAGATTTTATCTTAATGTTCAATACATAATGAACAAGCTTTCAACTCTTCTGTTTTAACCGTCTTCAGGCAAACTGGTGCGTAATACGAAGAAATACTGTAGTGCACAAAGTATCAAGATCAATAATAATACATGATTTGACGTTAACAAAAATAGCAAGATCAATGAAATCTACAGAATTAATACAACTGGAAAGCACTTATAATGAAGTTTTCCGACAGGAATGATTATTTATATATAGAATCTAACTTGCACAAGCATGTAAAACATATATGATTAATTATTGGGAATAATATATGTTATCCAATAAAAAAAAAGTATCTCAGCTTGCACAAGCATGTAAAACATATATGATTAATTATTGGGAATAATATATGTTATC